TTGTTCATAGCAATACTGTGCCTAAAATGACACCTTAAGGTAGTGATTCCTTTTCTTTCACTTTAAAGAAATCCAGAGGTGGACAGTCCAAGGCCAGTATGGCTCATTCATGTGGGTGTCAAGGCCTCTGCTCCACCATCTTTAGTGCCCTTGAGATTGCCTCGGGGTCATGATAAGGTTGCTGAAGCTCCAGCCATGACATTTTTCAGATAGGAAGAGAATATAAAGGGATAGAGACATAGGACTGTACCTCTCAGCTCTAAAGAGTTCTCCTGGGAAGTCCCAACCAATGGCTCCTACTCATATCTCATCGACTATTCTATCTTTGAGAGAAGCTGCAAAAAGTAGCTTTTTGGAGTTTTTGTTTTGTTTTGTGTTTTTTTGTTTGTTTGTTTTGGGGTTTTTTTGCAGTTTTTGACCAGGGCTGGGTTTGAATCCACCACCTCCAGCATATGGGCCCAGCGCCCTACTCCTTTGAGCCACAGGTGCCACCTTGTTTTTTTTTTTGAGACAGTCTCACTCTGTCACCCAGGCTAGAATATGATGGCCTCAGCCTAGCTCAGAGCAACCTCAAACTCCTGAGCTCCAGTGATTCCCCTGCCTCATTTTCCTGAGTAGCGCCCACTACGAAGCCCAGCAAAATTTTCTAATTTTAGTAGAGACGAGTGTTGCTCCTGCTCAGTCTGGTCTTGACCACCTGAGCTCAAGGGATCCTCCTGCCTCAGTCTCCTGAGTAGCTGGGATGATAGAGTGAGCCACCCTACCTGGCCTGCAAGGTCGTGTTATTAAGAAAAAGAGGTGACTAGGTGCTGCCACACTCAAGAAATCCACACACATTCTAACGACCACATTCCCCTATCTAGCCACCCCTCCAGTCACAGAGAGGAAAACGTCAATCCAGTGTTGCTTACATGCCAAAGACTCAAATTTAACTGCTGTACCCAGCAGCACACAACCACAGTCCCTCCTTTTAACAGGTGAGGCAAAGAGTAGGAGAAACATGGAGAAGGGGGGCCTGCAGGGCAGGACCAAGCCTAGCTTGTTCTCCCTGTACCAGGGCAGGTTCCAGGGCAGAGTGAATACCTAGCTTCATACCTATCCAAAGGTGGCACTCCTGGGGTGTCCCAGGGTCGCCCCAGGACCCTGCCTGTCAGGAGAGGTTGGCTCTGCATTGCCATTTCTGGTCTCAGTTCCAGTGTCTGAACTCTCCCTCTGTGCTGCTGCTTTGTTGACCGCTACCACAGGACAGGAGCTAGAGGGCCCCCCTGAGGATGACCCCATATTGGGTCCACAAGGAGAAAGGCTGTAGGCAGCGGCAGGGTAGAGCACACCCAAGGCCTGCTGCTGGGCTGGGTCCCAGAAAAGGAGAAAGGTAATGGTCTCATGCCCTTACTCACAATCCAACATGTTCCTTTACCAACCTGATTCTGCTGCCCTGAACTTATCAAAAGCAAGACATTAGCTACTGTACATACATTACCTTCTTCTATGTCAACAGTTACCCTGGAGATCAGAATCCTCACTTTACAGATGAGAAAAAATGAGGTTAAGTTGCCCCATTTCTCACAGTGGGTAAGGGACAGAACTAGGGTCCCAGATGGGGCCTGACTGACCCTCACAGCCCAGTCTCCTAACCATTAAGCCACCTTGCCTCCCTGTGCTAAGGAGAGGCCCACGGGGAGATCCACTTTGGTTTCCCTCCTGAAGGGTGAGGCTGGCAGACAGTGGGCCCCTCTGCTTCCAGAGCCTGGCTGAGGGGCCCAGAGAAGAGCCAGGGGCCACAGAAAACCAGGCCCTACCTTCCAGAACTTAAACTCTAACATTCAACCATTGGTCCAGGGCCTGAGCTCTAGGGCTAGTTCGAACCAAGGCCAAGGCCAGGCAATCCCACAGGGAACAGCAGCATTCACCAAGTCCCTTTGAAGGAAATCCCTCTAGGCTGCCTGTATGGGATGGGGTGGGAGAATAATTCTGTATTGTCTGGAACCTTCCTGGAGGTCCAGGCCATTGCCCTGCACATGCCTGGCTGTTCCTGTCCAAGGCAGGAAGAAGCACTCAAGGAACCAGGTTGGGGCAGTTAGAAGGCACGGGTCAGAAGCACCAACAGAAACAGCACGTCAATCTGAAATTTCAGAACACAGATCAAGGCATATCTAAGAAACCTGCCGCTTTTGTTTACAGCCAACATGTATAGTCAAATGCATGCTCCTAAGTTCCTTGCCAAACAGTATGTTGAGAGCTTCATGTGGAACTATGGATACATACAGGACACACACAACCTTTGCCACATTCCAGCCTAAAAAGTCTAGGATTGAATGTTTTATAAGTCCCACCTCCCCTAGTTCCCCTTAGGGAAGAGTTTCAATATGTTTTGTTGTATCTCAGTTTAAACCCTTTTAAAAAGTTAAAATGTTGGGCAGCACCTGTGGCTCAAAGGAGTAGAGTGCAGGCCCGGCCAAAGGGAAAAAAAAAAAGTTAAAATGTTGCATATTTAACTGCTTCTTCCATAGAAGGCCCGTTTGAAATCAATTCTGTGTTCTTTTCATTTTATGGACAAATTAGAAGTTTCTCCCCTTTCTTCTCAGCAGCCAGAATAAACAACAGTTGCCTTGACAAATGTTATTCAGTATCAATTACTACTTCATAACATTAAAGCGGTAACTTGGGTGTATTTTCTCTAATACATTTTAAAATAAGTTCTGAGAAGTAAAAAAGACATAATCTTATCATTGAAGGATTACCTGTACATCTTGCCATTTTACCTTTTTTTTTTCAATTTAAAGTTATTTAAATGAATGATCAGGTGCACTGGTTCATGCCTGTAATCCTTAGTACTCACTCTGGGAGGCTAAGGTGGAGGATCCCTTGAGCTCAGGAGTTCAAGCATCTCTACTAAAAATAGAAAAACTAGTTGAGCTTGGTGGGTGGGTGCTTGTAGTCCCAGCTACTCGGGAGGCTGGAGGCTACCCAGGAGTTTGAGGTTGCTATGAGTTCTGACATCATAGCATTCTACCTAGGGCACAGAATGAGACTCTGTCTCAAAAAGTTAAGAAAAAAAAGTTATTTAAATTGATGAACATTTATATCATCTATGACTAAGATTTGGTTCTGTTTATAATCCATAGTTTGAATCTATATTTACAAGCAGTAAAAATTTGATCCATTATTTAAAGAAGAAAAAGGGATGAGTTAGCAAAATATGTCCTGACATGGAACCTTCTAGAAATGCTGTTTAATGACAAATAAACCAACCACAAACACATTACAGGCTGGTATCTACAATGCACAAGGTACTTAGTGTAACTCACTAAGGACATACCTCCATACAAATGCACCAGACCAATCTGAAAGCACACACACACCCTGCCAACGGCTGTTGCCTTAGGGGAGGTTACAGAGTTGGCTAAAGGGACTTTATCTGTAAAGTTTCCATTTCTTACAGTGAAATGTCATAGTTATGTAATTTGTGTACTTAAAAGTTAATTTTTACAAACAGCCACAGCTACTTCGGGCAGTTGTAGACTGAACTATTTTTGAACACCATTGTCAATACTGACTTTTAGTTGTCAGTTACTATCACCCTTCTGCTCCAAAGTCCCTGTCACTGCATTGCCTTGAGAATACAACCCCACTCCTTAGGCTGGTGTGCAGTCAGGCCCCCACACTTACCATGTTAGCACCTGCTGCCACAGCACCTTGGAAGCAGGCCTCTGCTCATGCACTTCCCATCCAGAACACTCTCTGCATGCATTCCTCCTACTCAAATCCCACTCATGGTCACCACCCAGTTATGTCCTCTCCACTCTGTGGCCGGAGTCTTACAAGTCCTGAAGTTTGCTCTTAGCCTCTGGAGTCACTGTTTCCCTGATAACCTCCTTCAAACTGAACATTTTCTTTATACACTTTACTATCTCAATCACCCCTCACAAATGTCCTGTGATCAGATACTACCACTACTGTACCTGCTGTATTAACAGTCACATACCAATGCACATTATACAGTCCCTTGTCCTGCAGAATCAAATGTACAAAAACCCACCAAGGGAGTCAGTCCTTGATCCCTCCCCTCCTTTGGGATGTGACTTAAGTGGAATCTCAGGTTCAGACAGCTTAAAGGCCCTGCCTATGGGCACCCAGCTAGTAGTGGTGGGACTGCTAGTTACACAATGGCCACAATTCAACAGTCTTTTCTATAAGACTGAAATTTCATGCAAGTAACATCATCCTGGTGTGCCTGACATTTACTGGTTGCTAAATAAATATGAATTAAATGAATAATGCCCGCAAGTGCCTTAAAATGTAAGTGCCTTCCTTCTTCATAAAGTGATAATAGCAAACCTTAGCCCATTTGTCAGGTCCTTTCTACAAGCTTTACAGGGATCTTTCCACTTTACAACCAACCATCCTAGGGCAGTGGGCAGTGAGATGATTTTATCAGTGTCACTCTGCAAATCAGCAACTGTAAGTTCTAGAGACCCCAGAAGGATCCACCTGTACCCCTCCTCTATTACTGTGGTCAGGCCTCCAGGCTTGTCTTGGTTTCTTACCCAGCATACAGGAGGCAATGCTGGGAAGTTACTGGTCACAGACACCCAGGAGGATGGTGATGCTGCTCACGGAGTCCATGAGGCACTTGAGGGCAGCTGGGCACCACAGACCATGGGGCAGCCCATCATAGTGGTGCTCCTGGGCACTCACCCTGCTCAGTGGAGAGGGTAGGGGGCACGGTGAAAAGCTTAGCAGCTCCATCCAGATGCGAATTGTCCCTCCCACACTTCCCGGGCTGCAGGGGCCTCCGTTAGAGCCCCTGAAGAGTCAGAATCCACACCTCTGCAAATGGGCTGCTTTCCCAGGGCCCCCCTGCTCAGACCTTCCCTGGGCTCTGTAGGTTTTGACACCTCTCTGCAACCTGGCGGGGGGTCCACCTCGCACCTTTGGTCTGGATAAAAGCTCAGGCCTGGAGGTGGCCGGTCCAGCCTCCAGAGCCTGCAGCCCAGGCCATGGCTCAGTCGCCAACTCCACAGAGCCTCCTTAGCCACGACCACTGGATGTTCTTCCAGGGTTGGGGCTGGGCCAGCCACTCGGACTCCACGTCTCCGGCCTCCTCCTCGGACTCGTCGGGTTCGTGTCCCTATGACAACAACCGCGGCCCCTTGCAGCCCGCGCCCCCAGCCCGCAGCGCCCCGGCCGCGGACGCCGCCCCGACGGCGCCCCGACGTGCGCGGCCCTGGCCGGCAGGCGGGCAGCGGCGCAGCGCTAGCGAGCGCGAGAAGCTGCGCATGCGCACCCTCGCCCGCGCCCTACACGAGCTGCGCCGCTTCCTGCCGCCGTCCGTGGCGCCCTCCGGCCAGAGCCTGACCAAGATCGAGACGTTGCGCCTGGCCATCCGCTACATCGGCCACCTGTCGGCTGTACTGGGCCTCAGCGAAGAGAGCCTTCAGCGTCGGCGCCGAGGGCACAGCGACGCGGCGTCCCCTCGGGGCTGCCCGCTGTGCCCGGACGGCTGGCCCGAGCAGGCGCAGGCGCAGACGCAAGTGCAAGTGCAGATGCGCGGCTCCGACCTAGGCTCAGCCACCTGCCCAGGGGCATCCTGGGGGTCCCCGCCAGTCTGCCCTGGACCCGGAGCTGTGCTCGCGCACCCGGAGACCGGGGTCCCGGACCCAAACCACTGGGTGGCACCCCTTTACCACCCCAAGATGCAGTCGCCTTCGCATCCATCTCAAGGGAGAAACCCTGACGAGTCTGTTTGGATGCCACCCCAAGCCTTTCCTAGGGCACAGACGTCCCCAGAGCCCGGGAATCTGGCAGTGCCCTGGACCACGCCCCCGGGGCCCCTGGAGCTGGCTGCAGTCTACCAGGTACGCGTGGAGGCTGCTTCCCTCAATCCCAGACTACAGTGGAAATGGAAGCTCTTTGTGCAGAAAATCTCATACTTTTTATATCCCAGGTTATATAATCCGAGATTATCTAATGGTGTGGGGGGGGCGGGGAATGGAAGAATCCCAGACCTCCTTGGCGGAAGAGATGGGGCCCTGGGAAGTTAATGCCCCCACTACAATTGCCATCACTGCCACCCAGCAGTCTCCACAGCCATAGGGAAAAAAGGATATTCTTGGGACTTGCTCCAGTGGTGGAAGGTCGGGGGTGGGGGGCCCTCTGTCAGGAAGAATCGCTCCAAGTGCTATTGGTATTAAGGGTTCTGTGGAGGAAGGAAGGAAGCCCAAGCCCAAGGATAGCGGGCTTGGAGCTGGTGGTTTTGGTTTTCTTCAAACTTCTTTCACTCATGGGACCTGTGACTGACTCCTGGTCTATATAAGATGGTGTTAGTAACCAAAATTTACTGAACGTGTACTGTGTGCCCAACATCATTTGTGTATTAACATAGTCTTCCCAACAATCCTGGGAAGAAAGGATTATTATCTTCATCCTCATTTTGCAGATGATAAACCAGCCTGAAGGAGGTCACCTGAGTTCTCTTTGCTAGTGAGTAGCAGAGCTTGGCTATGTGTTGCTAGAGCCAGGGCCTTAACCACTTCCCTTCACTACACCTGCAGACTGGGCTGTGCAGACTCTGCCATCACACCCCAGGAGGCTTTCAGGTTTGAAATCTCTGGACATAGGGCTGTGGCCCACTAACCACCTACTCTCATCCCTCTTGTAGGGTATCTCTGTGTCTCGAGAATCCTGTCTGTCACCAGGAAGCCCACCCCTCCTGCCCGGCCAGTCATGCCAGAGACTCCAGCCTCAGACCCAGTGGGGATGCTGGGTCCAAAGTACAGAGGTGCTTCCCAGTGAGGACCAGGAGCCAGGCCCCACCTTCCAGCTGTCAGATGCAAGCCCGCCCCAGAGCTCAGGCCTACAGCTCAGGGACTGCCCTGAACTTTGGCAAGAAGATCTGGAGGGGGCCCACCTGGGCTGCTTTTTCTAAATGCCTCTTTTCAGCCAGGAATCAGGCCTGTCATGTGGGTGCCTCATTTTCTACCTCAGTGGTTTTTCAAGCTTGGCTTTAGCCAAGGATCTGTTTCCCAGTGATGTCTTTTGTGTCATAGAAACAGTGCTTGAAACAGAGCATGGGTTTTCTCTCTGGCTGGAGGGTGCACTGTCCCCTACTGCTAGGCACCCTTACACTTCCAGCATCCTACAGAGCACAGGTCATCCTGCCTGACCCCAAAGGAGGCCGGGCTGGGACTGGGGGGTGGGGGGTAGGGAGTGATGGGTGTTGGTGGGGAGGCCCACACTCAGCTACTTGGTCACAGTCAGCCAGAAGTCTACGGGCTTAGGTTTCTTTTCATACGTCTTAAAACAAAACACATGCACAGTATAAATTTGGCTTGGTCTGTTTTTCTTCTATCAACTTGGGTTTTGTTTTTGCCCCTGAAAGGAAAAATATTCCCCTTCTGTGGAGAATAAGTCACACTACTTATCTCCTCCCCAAATCCAGCCTGCCAAGATTGGTGTGGGCCCTCACTTGCTAATTTGATGCTGCTTATTTGATGCTTAATTTCTGGTTTTCCGTTCTCCCAGGCTGGTGGGGGAAGGGGGCTGCCCTTGACATGTTGTGGCACAGGTGGGCTGAGGCTTAGGCCTGTTCAGACATGGCACCAGTGCCCTTTTGCATTCTTCTGGGTACATTGTTGCTGACTATGGTCTGGGTGCACACAGCTGTGGACAGACAGGGCCTCAAAATAGGTAGACCAGATTCCCAGAAACATATAATTTAGGGCTTTTTCACAGTTATATGACATTTTTTTCAAAGGATGCTATGAGTTGGGTCCTTTGTGCTAGGCCTAGTATATTTGTTTGCTAGGCTGCCATGCCGAAATGCCAGACTGGGAGAATGGAAAACCAGAAATTTATTTCCCTCAGTTCTGGAGGCCCAAAGTCCAAGATCAAGATATAGGCAGGTTTGGTTTCTTCAAAGGCCTCTGCTTGGGTAACAGATAGCCATCTTCCCACTGTGTCCCCCACATGGTCACCCATCTATGTCTTCTTTTCTTACAAGGACAGCAGTCATATTGGTTCAGTGCCACCTTATGAACCCCATTTAACCTTTGTTACTTCTTTAAGGTATCTCTGTCCAAGTGCAGTCACATTTTGAGGTAGTGGAGTTTAGGGCTTAAACATGAGTTTAGGCTTTAAACAACCCATAATACGTGGTATGGGGTATTAGAGAGAGAATATTTTTCAACTAATGAGGTGAATTACAAGGATATGTTATAAATGACCAGAGCTCAGTTTCTACGTGCAAAGATGGGGGTTGTGTAAGGTCCTTTAGGTCTAGGATGTGACAGACAGCCTGGTGGAGGCAGGGTTGGCAATACCATCCATCATGAGTGGCCTGACCCCTTGCTACTGCTGCCTTGGTGCTGTCCAAAGTGAGAATAAGCAGCACCGCTGGGATGTTGGGGAAGTGGTGCCAGGATCCGTCAACAAAGGCTGCCATGGCCAGGGAGCCCGCAGTAGTGACTTCCCTCCATATCTGCTAACTCAGGAGGGAAGAATTACAAAAGAGGTGACCTTAGAGACAGGCACTGAAGGATGTGCAGGGGCTGGTGTGCTGGGAGGCACTGAAGGTAGGAAGGTGTGCTTGGTCCCTCAGGCTGCTTCATGGAAATGGAACCAGGTACTCCCAGGAAGACCAGAGGTCTTGGCTCCGGGACTCCCAGCATCTGCTGAATGCAGACCTAGATAAGTGCCCTGTCTTCTTCCTTTGGGTCCCACCTACCTGGGCTGGTCCCTGCAGGGATAAAGGGAGGAAGCACAGGAGAGGCCTGGCCTTTGCCAGCAGCCTGAGATGAGCCTCGTTCTCCTGCTCCCCTCAATGTGTGCACCAAGGGCAGCAGAAGCAAGAGGTCCCGTCCAGCCTAGGTACCATGTGTGGGTTACAAGCTGTAGTCACCTGAGAGATATCCCAAATGCGGCTGGAAAGGGGAGCCAGGCCCCCTCTGGAAAGGAAGGCTTAGCCCTGCCTCCCACCTGTCCATTGTCCATCCATCTGCCTATGGCTCTATCCCAGGCATGCTGCTCTGGGCTGCACCTCTCTGCCAGTGCCTGGCAGGAGGGGTAGAGGCTGACACTGGCACCCTATCTGGGATGGTTGGTCTGCCCACACCTCCTTTGTAGGAACCCCAGTTACCATCCATAAGACACTGGAGTCTCTGAGTCCCTCACCCAGGCCGTTCAAGAACATGGCAATGTAGAGGACATGCCAGCTTACATACAGGCAGCTGAGGCTGGCAGTGGTGCCACACTCAGCCTAGGGCTCTTGTTGATCCTCAGCACTTCCCCTTCCTGTGGCCTTGAGCACCCAGGGGTCATTCCCCTGGCAGAGTGAGCACTAGGCAGAGCATCAGCAGCCTAAGTTCTGGTTGGTTTCTGCTCTTTGACTTTGATCAAGGTTTTGTGGGCAGGTCTCTGGCTGTGGGCGTCCTCCTTGCATCCCAGGGACCAACTTCTTCCAGCCTCACAGGGCCTCCTGAATGCTACCTGGTGAGCTTCCAGGTGGCACAAGCAGGGAAGTGTGGATGGTACAGACCCTGCCCCAATTCCAGGTGGGCACTGCTCACGGGTGGTGGAGCAGACAGCAGACTCCAGTTCAGCCCACAGAGTTTAAAATTGAGATAAAGACAGCCTTATCTCACAGTGAGAGCTCTTCTCCCTGGCAGCCCAGCTTTCCCCTGAAATGTCCTAGGAGCCCTGGGGTTCATCTGGGACCCAAGATGGTGAGGCTGGCTCCTCCCCTAGTGGCCACCAGAGGGTCAAGTGCCAGCCAGGCTGTTGGGTACTTGCGACATGAAGGGTTTCCTGGCCAGTGGAGGAACAGCACCCGATCTCCTGCCCCTCTTTGATGTGCGGATGGTAGTGGGGGGTCTTCCTGACTCCAAGCCCACCTGCCTCTCAGCCAGGAGACAGGGCCAGGGTGATAAGAGCACTGGCTCTCCTTGATGCTGATACGTGACTCTGACCTACACACCAGCCCCAGGCACTTTTACTTCTTCAGGTTCATAAGGAAACCAAAGCTCAGGGATTTGGGTCATGTGCCCAAGAAACAGTGGCTGAGTTGTGGTCTAACCAAACTAGTTGGAGTGCAGGGTTCCAGCCCACAGTATCAGTTGGAGGTGACTCCAGGGCCCTCTGGCTATCACCACTATCTTCCTTCCCTCTCAGCCAAGAGACAGGGCCCAGGGTGATAAGAGCATGGCTCTCCTTGGTGCTGATACATGACTCTAACCCACACTCTAGCCCCAGGCACTATTACTTTCTCATGTGCATGAGGAAACCAAAGCTCAGGGGTTTGGGTCATGTGCCCAGGAAACAGTGGCTGAGCTGTGGTCTAAAACCAGATTAGTTGGAGTTCAGGATTCCAGCCCGCAATGTCAGTTGGAGGTGACTCCAAGGTCCTCTAGCTGTCGCTGCTGTCTTCCCTTCCCTCCCCTCCTGTCAGCCTTGGAGGCTCAGCTGGACTTCAAATGGTGGAGGCTGAGGTTCCTCCCACAGTCTGGCTCTGTTTGCCAAGAAAGGCCCACCAAGGTCACATGTGCTGGGGAGCCCTGTATGCCCCCAAAATAGGTCTTTTCTGTTTTGTTTTTTGAGACAGACTCTCACTCTGTCACCCTGGGTAGAGGGCTGTGCCATCATTGTAGCTCACGGCAACCTCCAAATCCTGGGTTCAAGTGATCCTCCTGCCTCAGTCTCCCAAGGTAACTGAGACTATAGGCAACTGCCACACACCTTGCTAGTTTTATTATGTTTATTAGAAATGGGGGTCTCACTCTTGCTCAGCCTAGTAAACTGAGCTCAAGAGATTCTCCTGCCTAGCCTCTCAGAGTGCTAAGATTACAGGCGTGAGCCACAGTACCCAGCCACATCCCAGGTCTTCTCAGAGGTGGCCCTGGCCACCAGTGCCCCAGGTGATTTGGGGCACAGTGCCCATTTTATCCCCCCCAAGTGGGCTGCCTGCCCCCTCAGCCCAACCTGTCTGTGTAACTCTGGAAAAAAACTTGTCCCCAAGCCGAGGTCCCACCTGCCACCCCCTATGGAGCCTGGAGAAGCGGTGGCTGGTGAGGGGTTGCACCAGGCCTGGGCCTGGGCTTGCTCCTTCCCTGTGCTGACCCAGTGTTGCCAGTGTCCCAGGTATTCTGTGGTATAGGAAGGGGATGCTTTCTGGAGAGCCCCCTGCACTCTACCAGGACCCCCTCCCACCCTCCCACCAGGGGAGTGCTTCCCCACCACCCCACATCTCCAGCTGCCAGTTTGGGCTGAAATGAGCCCAGGAGCAGATGCCTATAGCCCAGGTTCAGGGTGACCCCAGGAAGGGCCAGCAGCAGCAAGTCCCCTCCCAGGCCCCACTGCTGCCCATCCCCCAGCTCTCCTCCGCCTCAGCCTCCCCAGCTGTGGCTTGACCCACTTTTGCTTTACTTTTAGTAATGACTCTTGAAATTCATCTAGAAATCCTTTATTTACATTTTCTCTTAAAAAAATATGCAGATCTGCTGCCCCACTGATTTCTCAGGGTTGGGGTCTTTACAGGAAGGTGAGAGAGGGTGCAGGGTGGCCCCCGAGGCCGTCCATTGTCCATTGGGGGCTTCTGCTCATCTGGCCCTGGAACTGGGCTTCCCTGAGATCAGCCCCAGGGCTCTGGGTGACAAACACCGTAACAGGCCTGGGGCAGGGCTGGCACGAAGGGTGGGGCTGGGACCTGCTAGGACAGCCTGGCCATCAGAACTAGACTGGTCCCAAGGGTGGAGCAGAGGGGACCACAGTAGTGTCTCAGGCTAAGGAATGGGGTCCTGGCCCAGGCCGCTGGGACAGATGCATGTGGGCATCTGGCCTGGGGGCCCAGCAACTGGAAGGCCCAGGGACTATTTGCTATTCTCAGTGAACCACTTGAGCACCGCCTCCTTGTTCTCCTTCACCCACTTGATGTTGGCCTTTGTCTTCTCCAGAGCTTGCTCCAAAGCCCGGGTGCCTGAGCCAAAGCCAGTTTCCTGGTTGTCCCTCTTGAACTGTTCCAGCTGCCCAGAAAACAAAGATTCTTATCCTCTGGCTGGGTCTCCCAGTGCTCCAGTTTCCCACTCCCATTTTAGGACCCCCAAGGACAGGGAGGACCAGTCCTTCACTTCTCCCCATGGAAGAGTCCTTGCCTACTCAGAGACCACACAATACCAACCCCAGGTGAGATTTGGCTCAGGAAGGTATCTAGCCTTACTGTGTGGTATTTCATAGAGCTGACCCTCGGTTTTAATTAAATTATTATCTCATAATAATAATGAGAGGTAAGGGATGAGAGGTAAGAATTAAACATCACATGGAAGCCACTAGCCAAATCTAAAACTCAGAAATTTCTAAACCAAAAATAATCCAATTGCTTCAATAAATAAATGACGTTAAAAAAAAAAGACCATTATAATTTGTAAGACACATTAGTACTAGAGATTCTAGCAAGGGAAATTAGGCAAGAAAATGGAACAGAAGGCATCCAGAAAGGAAAGAATAAAACTATATGGGCAGATGACATGAAATACATAAAATTGTAAGGAATTCTGCCTGCCCTCCCCACAACTTGCCGGATATAAAAGCAGTATACAAAAATCAATTGCATCACTATATACTAGTGATGAAAACTCTGAAAATGAAATTAAGGAAACAATACCATTTATAATACCATCAAAAAGAATAAAATACCTGTACCACAGAACACCTGGGACATTGGCAAAAAGATTTGACAAACAAGTACAAAACTGTCATACTGAAAACTCTAAAACAGGCGTCCTCAAACTATGGCCTGCAGGAGACATGCAGCCTGCCTAGGACATTTATCCAGCCTGCTGGGTGTTTTTGCCGCCACTGCCTATGGGCCGACTCCCAGGGCCTACGGTCCAGCCCTCCAACGATCTGAGGGACAGTGAACTGGCTCCCTGTTTAAAAAGTTTGAGGACCCCTGCTCTATAATGTCGTTGAAAGAAATTAAAGAACACCTAAATAAAAGGGAAAAAGACCCAAATAAGTCTGTGTTCATGGACAGGAAGATATATTATTAAAATGGCAGTAGTCCTGGCCAAGCATGATGGCTCATGCCTGTAATCCCAGCACTGTGGGAGGCTGAGGCAGTTGGATTGCTTGAGCTCAGAAGTTCAAGACCAGCATGACCAAGAGAAAGACCCCATCTCTAAAAAAAAATACACAGGTGCTGTAGCAGGTGCCTGTAGTTCCAGCTACTTGGGAGGCTGAGGCAGGAGGATCTCTTGAGCCCAAGAGTTTGAGGTTGCTGTAAGCTATGACACCTCAGCACTCCACCAAGGGCGACAAAGTGAGACTCTGTCTCAAAAAAAAGAAGGAAAAAAACAGCAGCCCCTATCAAAATTTCAATTACTTTTTTTTCAGAAATTGACATGTTGATCCTAAAATTCATGAGGAAATGCAAGGGACCCAGAATAGCCAAAACAATATTGAAAAGCTGGAAAACTCACATTTCCCATGTTCAAAACAAAGCTACAATATGGTACTGGCATAAGGACAGACATGTGGATCAATGAAATAGAATTGAGAGTCCACAAATAAACCCTGTGTTGACAGTAGCTGATTGTCAACACAGTTGCCAAGATCGTTCAATGGGAAGCATAGCTTTTCTTCAACAAATGGTGTTGGGCAACTGGATAATCGCATGTGGAAGAATGAACCTGGGCCCTTACTTCATAGCCTATGTGAAAATTAAGTCAAAGTAGACCCAACTCCTACATGTAAGAATGAAAACAACAAAATTCTTAGGGAAAAAAATAGGTGTAAATCTTGAATCAGGCAATAGTTTCTTAGATATGACACCTGAAGTATAAGCAACCAAAGAAAAACCGATAAACTGTATTCATCAAAATAAAAAACTCTGGCGTATCCAAAGACTGCAAAGATGCTATCAGGAGAGGACAATCCATATAAGGAGAGAAATATTTTCAAATCATATCTCTGATTAGAGTCTAGTATTCAGAATATATAAGAACCCTTAGATTGCTTAAGCTCAGGAGTTTGAGACCAGTCTGAAAAAAATTGAGCTCCTATCTCTACAAGAAAAAAAAAATAGAAAAATTAGCCAGGCATGGTGGTGGATGCCTGTAGTCCCAACTACTTGGGAGGCTGAAGTAGGAGGATTGCTTGAGCCCAGGAGTATAAGGCAGCAGGGGGCTATGATGGCACCACAGCACTCCTCTTTGGGTAAAAGAACATGACTCAAAACCCAAAAAACTCATACAATTTTTACAATAAAAAGACAAATAATCCCAATTTAAAAATAGGCAAAGGTCCAGGTGCAGTGGCACACCACTGTAGTCCCAGCTGCTTGGGGAGGCGAAGGTGAAAGAATGTTTGAGCCCAGGAATTCTAGGCCAATCTAGGTGAGAGACTCTTTAACAACAAAGGCAAAGAGTTCCAATAAATAATTCTCCAAAGATACATGAATGGCCAATAAGCACATGAAAGATTCTCAGTGTTATGTCCTTAGTCATTAGGGAAATACAACTCAAAACCAAAATGACATCACTTCCTACATACTAGTACATATATATTCATTTAGTACATGAATATACATGCACTAAAGGGAAAAAAAGGAAAATAATAAGTATTGTCAAGTATAGAAATTAGAACACTTAAGCATTGCTATTAGAAGACATTTCGGTGGTTTTTCAAAAAGTTAAACTGAATAAGCAAATGACCCAGCAATTCCACTTTTGGGTATGTACCCAAGAGAAATTAAAACATATGTTTGTACAAAAATTTCTATACAAATGTTCATAGTAGCACTATTCATAGGAATCCGAACATGGAAACAACCCAAACATCTATCAACCAATGAATGGATGGACAATATTCAATATATCTATACAATGGAAATTATTCAGTCTTTAAAAAGAATGACACATGCTACCATACGCATAAATCCTGAAAACATTATACTAAGCAAAGAAGCCAGACACAAAGGGCCACATGCTGTGTGATTCCATCTTGTGAAATACCTAGAGTAGGCAAGTCTACAAGGACAGAGAATGGATGAGCAGTTTCAGGGTCTGAGGTGACAAGGTGGGGATGAGGAGTGATTGCTAACAAGTGAAAGTTTTCTTTGGGGGGCAAGACAAATATTCTGGAATTAGAAAGTGAGGATGGGTGTAAAACCCTGTAAATATATTGAAAATCACTTAAAATTGTGAGTTTTATAGTGCATGAATTTTATCTCTATTTTTAAAAATGAATCAGGGGAAAATGACAACTGATACCACAGAGATATAAGAGATTATCTCTGTGCCCAGAAATTTGACAATGTAGAGGAAATGGATGAATACCTGAAATCACACCATCTCCCTAGACTTAACCAAGAAGAAATATATCTCTTGAACAGACAAATATCAAGCACCGAGATTGAAGAAACAATAAAAAATCTCCCAGAAAAAAAAAAAAAAGCCCTGGACCAGATGGCCTTACATCAGAATCATGTCAAACATTCAAAGAAGAGCTTATACCTATTCTGCAGAATCTATCCCAAAACACTGAGAAGGAAACTTCCCCAACACATTCTATGAAGCAAACATTACCCTGATTCCAAAACCAGGAAAGGACCCAACTAAAAAGGAGAACTAGAGACTAATTTCACTAATGAATATCAATACAAAAATTTTCAATAAAACTTGGCTAATAGATTGTAGCTGCACATAAAAAAAATTATACATCATGATCAAATAAGCTTCATCTCAGGGATACAAGGCTGGTTTAACATATGAAAATCCATAAATGTAATTCACCATATCAATAGAAGCAAAAGCAAAGATAATATGATCCTTTCAATACAGCAGTTCTCGACCTGTATGTCGCAACCCAGAGGAACTGTATTAAAGAGTCATGGCATTAGGAAGGTTGAGAACCACTGCCTTCAACAGATGCAGAAAAAGCACTTAATAAAATTCAGTATCCTTTTTTAACAAGAACACTTAAGTGGCACATTTCATTTTTTTAAGACAGAGCCTCAAGCTGTCCCCCTCGGTAGAGTGCTGTGGCATCACAGCTCACAGCAACCTCCAACTCCTGAGCTCAAGCGAGTCTCCTGCCTCTGCCTCCCAAGTAGCTGGGACTACAGGTGCCCGCCACAACGCCTGGCTATTTTTTGGTTGCAGCCATCATTGTTGTTTGGCAGGCCCAGGCTGGACTTGAACCTGCCACCTTAGGTGTAGGTGGCTGGCGCCTTAGCCACTTGAGCCACAGGCGCTGAGCCACATTTCTTAAGTTGATTGAAACCATCTATGATAAACTAATGGCTAATACCATACTGAATGGAGTAAAACTGAAAGCTTTTCCCCTTAGAACTGGAATCAGACAACGCTGTCCTCTATCGCCACTACTATTTAACATAGTGCTGTAAGTTATTGCCAATGCAGTCAGCAAAAGAAGAATATAAAGGGCATCCAAATCATGTTGAGATCCCTGGTGAAGTCTTCAGAGGAGGTCAAATTCTTGCTCCTTGCTGATGATATGATAGGATAGGATATGATATATGATATGATATGGAAAACCTCAGAGACTCAACCACAAAACTCCTGAAAGTGATCAAGAAATATAGTAATGTCTCAGGATGTAAAATAATCAATGTCCACAAATCAGTAACCTTTGTATATCCCAATAACAGCCAAATTGAGAAGCAAATTAAGGACACAATTCCCTTCATAGTAGCTTCAAAGAAAATGAAATATCTAAATATATACCTAACAAAAGAGGTGAAAGATCTGTATAAAGAGAGTTATGAAACTCTGAGAAAAGAAATAACAGAAGACATTAACAAACAGAAGAACATACCATAGTCCTAGCTGTGAAGAATCAATATTGTTTAAATGTCTATTCTACCCAAAGCAATCTACAGAGTCAATGCAATTCCCGTTAAAATACCAACATCATACTCGGAAGAACCAGAAAAAATAGCACTTTTGTATGTAAAAAACCTATATAGGCAAGGCTATTCTTAGTAATAAAAATAAGTAAGCGTCATCACTCTACTAGACTTCAGGTTATATTACAAGTCCACAGTGATCAAAATCTCATGGTATTTGCACAAAAATGGAGACATAGGCATATGGAACAGAATAGAAAACCATGAGGTAAAACCAGTCTCTTTTTTCCATCCAATAAATCAAACAAAAGCATACACTGGGGAAAAGAATCCCTATTTAATAAATGGTGCGGCTTGGCGCCTGTGGCTCAAGCGGCTAAGGCGCCAGCCACATACACCTAAGGTGGCGGGTTCGAATCCCCAGCCCGGGCCCGCCAAACAACAATGATAGCTGCAACCAAAAATGGCCGGGCGTTGTGGCGGGCGCCTGTGGTCCCAGCTACTTGGGAGGCGGAGGCAGGAGACTCGCTTGAGCCCAGGAGTTGGAGGTTGCTGTGAGCGTGATGTCATGGCACTCTACCCAGGGGGACAGCTTGAGGCTCCGTCTCAAAAAAAAATAAATAAATGGTGCTGGGAGAACTGAATAACCATATGTGAAAGACTGAAACTGGACCCACACCTTTCACCACTCACAAAAATTGACTCAAGATGGATAAAAGATTTAAGTCAAAGACATGAAACGATATAAATATTAAGTGTGGAAAAAACTCTTGATGATATTGGCTGGAGAAAGATGTCATGATGAAGACTTCACCAGCACTCTCAACAACAAAAATGAATGGGACCTAATTAAGCTGAAAAGCTTCTGCACAACTAAGGACACAACAATTAATGCAAAAAGACAACCTTCCCAATGGGAAAGGTATTCACATGGTATGAATCTGACAAAAGGTTGATAACTAGAATCTCCAGAGAACTCGAATTAACAACAACAAAAAAGAACAAACAATCCCATCTACCACTGGGCAAGAGAACCTTCTCTGATGAAGACAGAAAAATGGCTAACAAACATTTGAAAAAAATGCTCATCATCCCTGATCACAGAGAACTGTAAATCAAAACCACCCTGAGATATTACCTAACCCCAGTGAGAAGAGCCCACATCACAAAGTCCCAAAGCTGCAGATGCTTGCAAAGATGTGAAGAGAGGGGAACACTTTTACACTGTTTTGGTGGGACTGCAAACTAATACAACCTTTTTGGAAAGAAGTATGGAGAATCCTCAAAAAACTCAAATCAGACCTCCCATTTGATCCTGCAATCCCATCACTAGGCATCTACCCAGGAGATAAAAAATCAGTTTATTACAAGCTCAAACTACAATCGCCAAGATGTGGAAACAACCCAAGTGCCCATCACCCCATAAATGGATTAACAAACTGTGGTATATGTACACCATGGAATACTATTCAGCCATTAAAAAATATGGAGACTTTGCATCTTTTGTATTAACCTGGATAGAGTTGAAACACACTCTTCTTAGTAAAGTATCACAAGATGGAGAAGCAAGAATCCAATGTACCCAATTCTAATAAAACCAGTAGATGATCTAATAACATACCCACATAAGAGAAAAACTCAAATCAATTCAAGGTGGGGGTTGGGGGAATGAGGGTAGGTAGGAGGGCGATGGGTGTCCTCCCACTTAATGGGCTCGATGTTAGGGTTTATGGCATAGCTCTTGGGGGCAGTACACATTTATAAGAGGGACCCTACCTAACAAATGCAAACATTGTAACCTATTTCTTTTTATCCTCAAATTAACCTTAAGTTAAAAAAACAATAATTAAAAAATTAATCAGCCATGCATGGTGGCAGGCACCTATAGTCCCAGCTGTTCAGGAGGTTGAAGCAGGAGGATGGCTCCAGCCCAGGAGTCTGAGGTTGCTCTTGAGCTATGACAATACCACAACACTCTAGCCTTGATAACAGAGTGAGACTATCTCAAAGAAATGAACTATGATGCCACTACATTCTTGCTTCCTAGGTGACAGAGCAAGATCCTGTCTCCAAGAAAAAAAGGAAGAAAAAAAAGAATCAACCTAATGCAATACATTGGCTTTGTCTGGCTTCTGATTCAAACTTATATATCAATTGTAAAAAAACTTGAAAACAACTTAGAGGGCTGGGTGCAGTGGCTCATGCCTGTAATCCCAGCACTCTGGGAGGCCAGGGCACCTGAGCTCAGAAGTTTGAGACCAGCCTGACCAAAGAGTGAGATCCTGTCTCTAAAAATAGCCAGGTGTTATGGCAGGTACCTATAGTCCCATCTATTCAGGAGGCTGAGGCAAGAGGATCACTGGAGTCCAAGAGTTTGAGGTTGCTGTGAGCTATAGTGCCACAGCACTCTACCCAGAGTGACAGAGTGAGACTCTGTCTCAACAACAAAAATAATGATGATGATAAATAAATAAATAAATAAATAAATAAAAACTTAGCAAATTTTTTTTGAGAGGGTCTCACTTTGTCACTCTCAGTAGAGTGCTCTAGCGTCATAGCTCACAGCAACTTCTAACTCTTGGGCTCAAGAAATTCTCGGGCCTCAGCCTCCTGAGTAGCTGGGGTCTTGCTCTTGCTCTTGCTCAAGGTGGTCTCGAACCTGTGAGCTCAGGCAATCCACCTGCCTCAGCCTCCAAGAGTGCTAGGATTTCAGGTGTGAGCTACTGCACCTGGCCACAACTTAAAAGTTTTGAATATGGCCTTGGTAAGATGATAGATAGTAAAGAATTGCTCATTTTCTTGGGATTGCTAATGACCATGTGATTATGTTTTTAAAATGCCTTCATTTTAGATATGACTAAAGCATATACAGGTGAAATTACATGACACTTATTTGCTGTAAAACGGCTCATCCCAAAAGAGAACTGGCAAAATGTTGGTAATTGTTGAACCTGGGTAAAGGGTACATGGAGGTTCATTATATCATCCTCTTTATGTTTGTTCCTATGCAAAAATGTCAAGATGAAGTTCTGGAATTAAATGGTCTGTAAATGAGGAAGGCTTGGCAACACAGAGCCAATGTTGCTGTGACTGACTGGGAAGGGACCAGACAGAGTGAAAAGCTGCTGGACAACTTCTTACCTGCTGCAGCTCGTATTCTGTAGAGAACCGTCGTGTCACTGCCTGGATGAGGTTGGAGAAGGAGAACGAGCCACCACCGTAACTGCAGAGCAGGGAGAGGAGCATGAAGGCTGGAAACTAACCTCAGTGCCCACTGGTGGCCCTGAATCCTTACAGCTGCTCCTTATAGATGAGATGAAATGACACCCCCCAGGGGACACCACTAGGATGTGGGAAATGGTACCCAACAGAGGCCTGACTACAAAGTCCTGAATTGCCCTCTCTCCCACAGAACACTCCCACCCCCACTAGCCAACATCTGACCACCCCTATGTGGCATGTACCCGTGAGTGCCTGTGAGTACCTCCACCCGTCACAAACCAGCCCCAGGCCTTGCCACAGCATTTGTGTCCCTGATTGCCTCTCTGCAGACTCACTCCTCAAAGAGCTTCTTCCAGTTGCTCTGGACAAAGTCCCAGACCAGGGTTTGCCCGACGACATTGCTGGCAATGCTGGAGATGGTAGAGGTGGCATCCTGCTTACGGATCAAGTCGGGATTCAAGGTGTAACTCAGGTACCTGGGTGGCAGGATACAGGTTCAGTAACCACCTCTGAAGGCTACAGTCAGAACATTCTGAAGATAAACCAAGGGCCGCAAAGGACCCAACTCTCCCACACACATCACCTCCTCTAGCATCCTCTCCACATCCCCTTGGCATGCTGACACCTGAGGGACCCCTTGGGTCATAGCTCCCCCTGTAGATGGGAAACTAAGTTACCTAAGCAGGGCCATGGGGTCACTGGTTGTGCCAGGACTCATGCCTGACATGGAAATACTCAACAATGAATACATGAAGGGCTAAAGTTCCAAGCCCTGGCACCAGGAAGGTGGCCACCCCTGACCTTGACATTAAGGATCCAGGTAATGTCATGTGAAGTGCCCAGTGGGGCTGGAAGGGTGCCCAACTGGACCTTCCAAAGGACTTGGGTCAAAGTTGGTGGCAGAGAGGAAAGTGAGTTGTCGTAGGGGAGGCTAAGAGGCTACAGCAGCCAAGAGCCAGGATGTGGACCCAGACCTGGGTGTAGATCTTGCCATTGTCATTTACTGAAGTCTGGTCTTTGGGCAAGTTGCTTTGCTTCCCTGAGCCTCTACATCCTCAACCTCAGCAGGTCTGTGAGGGCTGCATGGATGAGAAGGGGACCGCACAGCCCCTTCCAAGCTGGTCTCACCTGTTCAGAATCCACACCTCGCTGCTGCAGGCTAGGGCTGCCCGGAGCTTGTCAGCCTCATTTACCAGCGTGGCATTTCGGAACTGCTCCCAGGCAAAGTCCCACTCTGCCTCGCCACCCTGGGAGATGGCGTTGCAATAGACAGTGGACCGCAGGTTGGGGTGGATCCTGGTGTGAGGGATGTCAGGTGTGGATCAGGGCCTGCTACGGGAAGGGCCACAGGCTCCCAGATACCATGTAGGTGCAGAGGAAGATCCCCAGGAAGATGCAGAGGACACTCACGGGTTGTTTCCGGGGTCCTCCATCCATTGCTTGAAAAGGCTGGAGACCAGCTGCTGGCACTCAGGAAGCCCACTGGAGCAGGCAGTGCTGATGGCGTTAACCTCGCAATACCTGCCCAGTGGGACTCGTAGTTAGCATGCTTGACCCAGACTCCTGCCATGATTCACTCCCAATGCGCAACTTGGCTGGGGCCCCATCTGAAGTTCTGGGAACCCTCTCAGCCTCTGGGGCTCCCCCATTTGCCTTGTGCCTGAGCTTTCCTGGTCCCCAAAGCAGCCCAGGAACCCAAGGGGCTGGCACAGGGTCCAGACATGGCTGCAACACCTGGAGCTGTCTGGCCTTTCACCAGAGAGGTGGCCTCATAGTGCCAGTTTGGGCCTTTTTATAAAGAGGCCAGATGGGCTCACAAGCTACACAGGGCCTCAAGGCAGGGCCCCTGCTCCTGGTTGAGGGTCTCCCCTGCCTAGGGGCCCCTGGAGGGCAGACACTGCTGGGGTGTTGCTCTCAACTCCCCAGGTTACCCAAAACCTCCAGACCCATGAGGAGCCACACTCACTGGTCCATCAAGTTCTCTGGGATCTCCTTCCAGTTATCAGTGATATTTCTGAAGTGAAGGAAGAGGGGTGTGACCTGCTTTTTCAGGTAGTTCTGGGGAAAGGAAAACATGAACCATTCAAAGACTCACGTCCCCATGGAGCTCCAAGCCCCATGGAGCTTCTGATTTGGGGGTGGGGGCAGGCACTAGAAGGGAAGTCAGAGGCCAGGGCCTCACCAAGGACAGAAGTGTTCAAAGGGGCCAGTGCATCAGTGACTGCGCTGAGATCCCTTTTCTTCAAAGCCCTGGTCAGTTCTGACATTCTTTGTCTGAGACACCATTTCTGAATACAGAGCAGTAGGTTTCCCCGCTCTATTATAGTATTCCATGCATAGAAAACACAGAAAAGCATAAGCAAAAAGTAAAAAAACAGGGTGGCACCTGTGGCTCAGAGGGTAGGGAGCTGGTCCCATAAAACAATGGTGGCAGGTTTGAGCCGGCCCTGGCCAAACTGCAACAAAAAATATCCAGGCGTTGTGGTGGGCACCTGAGGTCCCAGCTACTTGGGAGGGTGAGGCAAGAGAATCACCTAAGCCCAAGAGCTGGAGGTTGCTGTGAGTTATGATGCCATGGCACTCTACCAAAGACGACAGAGCAATACTCTGTCTCTTAAAAAAAAAAAAAAAAAAAGTAAAAAAACACCCAGGAGCTCACCAAAACTATGATTTCCAAATTGGTGAGTTTATTCCTTCTTTTGTCTACACTTCCTTTTTTTTTTTTAAACTTAGCACAGCTACAACTCTGCATGCTACTTTTGCCCCTAATGTTGCAATGTAAGTCCAACCTTGTATTACTGAATGTCTCTGTGAACTTGGGTTCGACTTGGCTGACTGACTTCTGCTCCAACCTCAGTACATGTCCAAATGTGAAAGAAACCAACCCAAGGGCAAAGAGCTTGGGAGAAGCAGACACAGCAAGGGGCAGGCAGCTGGAGTATGCCTCAGGGTGGTAGAGGGGGAGTCTGTGACAGAGCATCTATAGGAAGGGAGGTAAAAACAAGAGGACTGGCTGTGACAGGACTCAGAGTAAAGGGACAGGTCAGCCTGGAATGGAAGCAAGTGGGAACTGTAAAAGGGAAATGGAGCTAACGTCTGTAGAAGGTGTCATTAACCCCCAGGTCTCCTCTTCCCCCTGCAGCAAGCACCACACCTCACCTCCCCCATGGGAGAGACTGGACAAGGGAGGTCAGAACATAGAGTCACCAGACATAGTGGGAGGGTTGCTGGATTGCAAAGAGGGTGAGAAGTGGAAGGTTCCATACTAAACAGTGGTATCCCAGTTCCCTTCTCCACCCTGATCCCTGAAAGTGAGCATGGCCAGCCTCATTGCATAAGATGGAAGTGCCTTCTCCAGAAAAACTGAATGGTCTCAAGAGTATGCACTCCATGGACATTAATTTTTTAGGGTCCTCAATGAAGAGGACCAGCACCCAGTCACCCCATAATGAGGTCTCCTCCATCTCCACCCCCAGATGTCAGACCCCATCTCCCGTGGAGCTTGCAGTGACTTTGGTTATCTCACTCCCAAATCCCAAGGGGCAGCTTGAATGGACCCAAAACAAATAGAAAACTCAGAAGAAACATGTCAATGGAAAAAAGAAAAAACAAATTCCGTAAAGCCTGTAAATACATACCCTCTAAGAGGGAAGCTATGACATAAGGTGCTGGAACCAGAATGAGCATTTGGAAATCTTAAAATATGATGGAGGAAATGAGAACAATTTCTAGGCAAGATGGTATGCAAAGCTCATATCAATAAGTCAGCAAGCTGGAAAACAAAGTATGTAAGAAAGCTAGAAGACCAAGGCAAGAAAAATAAGCTGGATTAACAGGGGTTCCAGAAGGAAATAACTAGAGAAAAAGGAGGGGAAGAAAGTTTGCAGCAGCAATGGAAAAAACGTTCTGATACTATAAGGATGTAAATGTCCAGACTGAAAAAGGAAGAAGGGTGAGGAAAGGCCCACCAGGACTGAGAGACTATCCCAAAAGCTTCCAGGAGGGAAAGGTGATCACACTCAAAATGAATAGAAATGAGAAAGGCTCTGAGCTTCTGAACAACACCACCAGGAGCCTTAAACATTCTGAGGAGTGACTTCCAACCTAGAAACTTTGAAACCCATCTGAACTCTCCATCCAGTGCATGAGGGGAATCAAGACACTCAGAAAACTTGCCTCTCATGAGCCCCTTCTCAAAAACTTCTGCAAGATGCACTCCCTGATGGGAGAACCAGAACCAAGAAAGATTCTGTGGGATTCAGGAAGAGGAAATTTGAGACAGCAGGTGGGGGGCAGGGGGTATCTCTGAGCACAGAGCTATACACTATACACAATTCTGCATGAGGGAGGCCTCCAGGAGATAACAAAGCCAGCACATGAGGTTGGGCATTTGAAAACGTGCGCAAAAATGGAATATAAGCATACTACTCCATGTTGCTCAGCAAAGATCGATATTTAGATAACCACCCTAAATACCGATGAGACTAAATATTGCAATTTAACTGCATGAGGATGGGAGCAACTGAGGGAAGGAAGGTAAGCAAAAGTTAAAACTTCATCTACCAAAATACCTCACTCACTACAACAGGATGTGAATAGGTAACTTAAGATTTTGTAATTTAAAAAGTTCTCATTAAGTATTATCTAATGGATATATGTGTATAACATCCCATCAAAAGGACATTCTACAGTTTAACTTAGCCAATCCCCAATTGTTGGACATTTAAATATTTTTGTGTTCTCCTTGTTTATTGTTTCTAGTTTCATTAACATAAACATCCATGGGATATAGTGAACATCCTATGTAGCTTCACCCAGAATGAACCTGAGTTTCCTGTTGGACTCTCAAACAAGGCCTTCAGCCCCCAGTTAGGCCTCTGTGCTCAGTCTCAAAATACTTCCAAGCCATTCACTCAGTATCTCCCTCACAGCGTTGGGGCTGGCCAGGTAGGGCAGAGGACCCCCCTGTGGCTGAGGAAGAGTGCCCAAGCCACACACTGATAAAAGACAGATCTCTTTCTCTGCACAGTAATCTTTTCTGTGCCTTCTGAAAGCACTCATTTTCCATACTTCAAATCAGCAAATGCTGCTGGAAGCCTCAGTGATGTTTCTGCACCCCACCCGACCTCTTCTTGCTCTCAGCACCTGCTTCTTCCACCTCCATTTCCCTCTCATTTGCTTACTCCTCTGCCCAGTCCACTCTCAGGGAAAGACTGACTGAGCAACATTTCTAGTCACATCCTAATGGTGTGACTGCAGGCACTGGGAGAGCTGGAACCTGCCACAGAGCCTCGCATACCTTCATGGGGCCATAGACTTCCGAGCGGTCGAACATGAGCTTGAAGTAGTTCAGGCTGCTCAGTGCGGCCTCCCAGGGCATGTACTCTCTCTCTTGGATCAAGAAGAGGGTATTGTCCAGTGCCAAAGTGATAGAGACCTTTTGGGCACTGGGGACAAGCAGAGGGGCCCAAGTCAGCACTCCTACCTAGCCCCGACCTAGCCTGGGAACCCCAGCTCAAGCCCTCAAGCCTGGGTCCCTGGGCACCCTCCCGGAGCCAGAGGTCCCGGAGCACCAACTGCCACAACTCAAGCATTTGCCCCAGGGAAGTTGCACCATGCTGCTGGGTGGTATGACAAGCAAGGCTCTGCCCTCACCCACCACCAGTGCCATTCCCTTGTTGTTCATCCACATTTTACAGGTGAGGAAGCTGAGACTCAAAGAGTGAAGTGACTTGCCCAAGGCCACACAGTTCACAAGAGACAGCTGAGATTCAGAAGAGCAAAATACCAGAACTCTGAACTCTGCTGCCTCTGCTGACTTGCCAGACCCTCCAGACTTTCCTTCCTCCTTCCTTCTCCTTGTCTATGGGTGACACAGCTCATGGCAGAGGGCTTAGCACCTTGCCACAAACATAGTGCTGAGTAAGTATTCATCCACGCTGCATCCCTCCTGTCCTATCCACCCCAAATATTTTTTAGCACAGTGGGCCAAGCTTGGTGCTATGGAGTAGAACATAGCTTTGGGGTTGGACAGGCCTCTGTCTGGCTGTCTTAGGCTACTGAGTGACCCCAGGCAAGGTGTCAGGCTCCTCATCTGTGAAATGGGTGCATAGGACCAAGAGAGAGGTGTGCAGGGACCCCACTGCATTGTGCCTGGCACACAGGAAGTGAAGGCAAGGAGTCCAGGCCAATCCATCACGGACTTGGCCTTGCTCAAGTCATGATGCTTCCACAGCTAAGCCAGGAAGTGGGGGGTGGGGGGCACTAACCTGGCCAGGTTGAAGGCGTCGTTGATTACCTGCGCCCGATTGATAACAGGGATGACCTAGAATGGGAAACAGAGCACGTGACCAAGGGCTGGCAGTGGGCAGCAGGCCTTGCAGTCTGTGCCTTACTCAGGGTAGGGTGCAGTGGCAGGGGCAAGGGTGGGGTGGACACCCACCGCTGGGTCTGCCTGCAGCTGAGCCTGAATCTTCTTCCAATTGTCATCGTCATAGTTCACCTGGAAATAGCCTGTCACGTTGAGGTTCAGCAGTACCCACTCATTGGCAGTCGTTTTGAACAGAGGATTCTGGGCTGGGGGTGGGGGGAAGCGGCCAAAGCTGAGTGGGGCTTCTCAGAGAGGCCACAGGCTGACCCCAAGTCTCCTCTGTATGGCCTTGGTGACAATAGCTGCCCCTGCAGCCTGGCACCATCTCACCCTCAAGCTTCTGGGGCAACACCAAGCGGAGTAAGGAAGAGGTGAAGGACTGGACAGCTAGGTGGCCTCCCTGACCCACTGCCTCCTCTGACCTCAGGGCCCACTCTGTCAAGACACTGCCAGCAGCCTCGGCAACTCCACAACACACTCTCAAGCCATTCATACTCAGCCACCCAGGCAACTCATCCTCCTGTTCCTCAGCTTCCAACATTGCTATCTCTTCCTGGGGCTGCTATCTGCCACCCCTTTCCTCTCTTGCCTCTCCCATACTTTCTTCTGACAGCCAGATCAACATTAGTCATACCCACAAGTCAGAACCAATCACCCATCCACTTCCCACCTACCCAAACCACTGTCTGCTGCAGCCTGAGGGGCCCTTGGGGACCAGCTTCATCTCATGGGGCATCACTGCCCCAGCCACACTCAGTCCCCATGCTATCTCCTATCTCTGTTCTCTTGCACTTCCCTCTGCCCAGAATACTGTTCTCTGTGGCATTAGCCTGCCTGACACCTATTCTTTCTCTAAGACTCAGCCCGCCTCCCCCAGGAAGCCTTCCCTGACCTACCCACGAAACAGACATTCCTGCTCTCTGGCCCCAGAGCTCTGTGGCACAAACATACTGTCACAGCCTCAGCACAACACTGGGCCATGTCATGGCTCATCCTCTTTTATCTGCAGCCCTGGCCAAGGCAGAGGACAACATGTCCTAACCTTTGTCCCTAGTACCTGGCCGAGTGGGGCTGCTCATACTGTGCTTTAAGCATTTTATGTGGATTCTCTCCTTTCACCCTCACATGATCCAGTGGGGTGTTGTTCTTAGCCTCATTTTAAAGAAGAGGACATGAAGACCAGGAAGGGACAGTAACTTGCCCAGAGTCACAAAGCTGGGCAGAAGCAAAGTGGAGACTTGTAGAGTAATGAAGAGGCTTGCCATGGCCCACCCCCACCCAGAACATGGGCCAGGAGTGAGCAGCATATGTAGGCTGCACCTGCTAAGGCAGGGCTGAATTACTTTTCTGTATGCCCTCCAGCCAGTAGCCCTCCTGCTCTCTGCCATTCCTCAGGGACGAGATGGGCACAATCCATAGGTAGCTGCAACAAGAGGGCCAGAGGCATGTGGTGAGAGATGGCAGCTCCTGCCATAGCCCCTGCACCCAGTTTCCACCCAGCTCTGGCACCACATGCCCCCAATCTCCCAGCTGTGGAGACCAGTCCTAGTATGATCAGGGCATCTCATAGCAGCTACCCTGTACCCCACCCACCCTGACCGGGCCTCAAGGACTCTGTCTACTCACTTGAACTCTGAGGGGCGGGTAACATTGGCCTCGGGGTCAAGGAGGAAGTGCTCCTGGGAGATGTCCCCTGTCTTGGTGTCCACGGTGATGACTGGGAAGCCCATCTGCAGGATCCAACGGTCCATGATGGCACGCACAGTGGTGGGGAGCTCGATGGCCGATTGGCTGTCCACAGCCTGTGTGCACAGCAGGATAGCATGGCCATCAGGGGGCAGCTACTCCTGGCCCCCTCACATCCAGGGCAGCCCCTGAACATGCTGGCCTCCACCCCCTGGTACCACCTGTGTGGGAGGCATGAATGAGCCCTGGGCAGGCACTCTGGAGCCAGGGTCCAGTCCAGCTCTGCCTCTCCTCAGCTGTTCAGTCAGTGCTGGACAAGCCAGAGACCTTCCAGCCTCTGGGTTCATTCCGCATCAATTAAGCAAACCCAGGCCCTCCATTCTGCAGTACACCCTGAGGGGTATGTGTCGGGGAGAGGGTACCCATGGTTCCTCCTGAAGGATACCAGGAGGATGAGAAGATAGAGGAGACAGGAGGGACCCCTGCATCCAGGTTTTGTCACAGGCAAGAGCGAGGGACAGCCCAGGGGGGCATGAAGGAAATGCACCCAGACTGGGGAGTGGGGGGCTGGGCTTAGGGGCAGTTGCCATTGTTTCCTTGGGTCTTTTTGTATCTTTCCCATGCAAGCCTTGCTTAGGTTCATAACCAAAACAAAAAGCCAACAAAACCTTTTAATAACCAAAAAAAGGAGTCACCTGAGAATGGGGCCAAGAGAGGGGACAACAGTGGAGAACTCTGGGGGCAGCGAGTGAGTCTTGAGAAGGAAGAGGGGAAGGGAGGGACTGGAGTGGGGCTGGACTTTGGAGGGGAGGGGAAAGCCAGGACAGGGCAAGGAGGTGAGGGGTGGCAGAATGGTAGTGGGGAGGAAAAAGCTGGCCCCAGTGAGCTAGAACCCAGCTGTGACTTGAGACTAGACTAGATCCGGGTATCCCCTCCCTGGGGGATTGGCCCTGCAGAAGGACAGCAGCAAACATGGGCCACAGCTGGATGGACCAATGGGCTCCAGGATTCAGAGAGGAAGGTGGGCTGGCCGCAGAGAAGGGGGTGATAGAGATTGCAGTAGACTCCAACCCCAGGGAAGGCTAGGGCTGTGGTGGCCTCTGGGGAGGGCAGGAGATTATCCCCACAGTAGGGACAGTGGGTCTCAGTGCAGAGGAATGTGCAGAGGAATGGAAGGGGGGATAGGTGCTGTGTGCAGGGACCACCCAGGCCACAAGGCAGCTGGCAGGGCAGGGAAAGTTAAGTGCCTTGTTTGGGCTCAGGAACCCTGAGGACCCATTTCCTCATCACTAAGACAAACACACTCCCCAGCTCCCAACTCAGCATCCACATGGGGGCTGGCTTCAAGTGAGCAAAGCTTCAGATGGGGTCTCAGTGTCAGGTCTCACAACACCTGCTCCCAGGTGCTGTCACTGTGCCCATGTTCCAGATGAGCACATTAGGCTCCAACAGACCTGTGCTGCTGGCCACAGCAAGCCAGGCAAGTTCTCACACATGTGTGCTGCCCCAGGCACCTCTAGCACCTCCAGACCCCAACAGAACAGCGTGGGGGCTGCCTGCTACAGACCTCCTGCAGGTGCTCCCACAAGTCCAGGTAGATGGTGTTATTGTAGGCGAAGGTGTGGAGGTAGGACTGTGGAGAGACAGGCAGAGTGAGGGCAAACTCTTGCCTCTTTGGTAGGCCAGGGCACAGGGGCAAGGGGTGGGGCCTCAGGGAACCCACCCCCCCATGGCTGCCCACGGGGTGCACTTACTGCCAAGCCTTTCTTGAACAGGTCCTCAGTCAGGAAGGTGGAGAGCATCCTGAGCACTGAGGCACCCTGAGAGAGGGTGAGGATCTCAGAAGGCTGCCCTCAGCCTCCAGGACCCTGTGCCCCCAGAGCACAGCCGCCCTCCCCATGCCCCTTCAGGGTCCTTTGGCACCTTGCTGTAGGAGATGGAATCGAACAGCTCACTGATCTGAGCTGGTGTGTTGATCTCTTCAGCAGGAGTGGACAGTGGGTGTGAGGAGGCCAGAGCATCCACGGCCATCACACGGTATACATCGTTCAGCACTATGAGGTCTTTCTGCAAATTCCCAGTGGCCATCAGGAAGTTGGCCTGAGAAGGGTGGCCAGGCCTCCCTCCACCCTGATCCCAGGCCCCGGGCAGCTGGCTCACCACATTCCAGGTGGGCTCGGCATAGTCAGCACCCAGATACTCCACATAGGAGGCGAAGCCCTCGTTCAGCCATAGGTCATTCCACCACTCCACTGTCACCAGGTTCCCGAACCACTGCAGGAAAGGGGTCACCATACAGTCCATACCAGCCTGCCAGGCACTAAAATCCCCAGAATTATCCATCACTGAGTGCCAGCCCCTCTCTTGCATCATCACCACCCTCTCTGCTGCCCTGCCAGGTGGTGCCCTTCCCAGCAGCTCGGGGCAGAGCCAGGACTTGTGCTACCTCCTCCCAGAGTCTGTTTCTCCCTCTGCACTCCCTATGGTGGGGGTGTGGGGGGGACCGCTACCTGATGGGCCAGCTCGTGAGCAATCACAGTGACCACCCGCTCCTTGTTCCCAATGGAGGAAGATGTGGGGTCAAACAGCAGGGAATTCTCCCGGTAGGTCACCAGCCCCCAGTTCTCCATGGCACCAGCATTGAAGTCAGGCAGGCCAATCTGGTCTGGAGAGGTGAGGCCATTGGCAGGAGGGACTCTGGGTGTAGCCACTGCCTCCCACCACAGGGCCCCTCACTCACCAGATTTGCTAAGTGGGTATGGCGTGTCATAATGTCTAGCAAAGAAGTTTAGGATGGGGCCTGTCTTGTTCAGGGCATAGCTGCCATGGCCCTGGTCAATGGCACTGGGCCGGGCCCAGATGCGGATCTGCACAGAGGGAAGAAACAGGATCCTGGTGTAGGGACCTACTAAGCCCAGTCAGCAGAGCCAGGCAGGCAAGGGGGCTCTGACACTGTGAGGCCTAGAGAGGGGCCTTCGGAGAGTGACAGCTGGCAGAGCCTCTATCTGACACTCCTAGGGCAGGAGGAGGGGCTGACAGACTGAGGATCACAGAGCTTAGGACACGAGCTTGAGATCAGAGTTTGGATGGGAACGCCGGCCTGACAACGCAGACCCAGGTACAGGGAAAATAATAGGGATCTCCCTCAAGCTAGGGCCAGCCTAGGCAAAGGACACATGGGCCCAGCTTCGTACCAGGACTCCATTGGATGCATGCTGCTCCACATGCTTAAACTCGCTGACGATGAAGGCCAGAAGGTACGTAGACATCCTGGGCGTGGTATGGAACTCCACGACACTCCAGCTGGGGTCGTCCGTCAGTGGAACAGGAGGACCTGCAGGGAGCACACAGGCATGTGGGTGCTCTCTCTCTCTGCCCCGCACCCTAGCCCCTAGGGCCTGCTCCCTGCATGGCCCCAAGACAGACCCACTCACCTTTGGGAAGCATGTTGGACAAAGCATTGAGGTTTGAGGGGTAGATGAGCGTGATGTTAAACTCGGCCTTCATGGCTGGCTCATCAAAGCAGGGGAAGGATTTCCGGGCATCTGCAGCCTGCATCTGTGTTGTGGCCACCACCCTGCCCAAACCAGAGTGTTAGGAAAGGGTTACTGCAAGGCTGTCCCAGCCTAATCCCTGCCCTCCCAGCCAGGCCAGCTGACTGTGGGAGGCCAGGGCACCTTCTGGACTCAGAGGCCAGCAGGCCCTACCCCTGCACTAGCTGGGGGCCTTGGGCAACTTTCTCTCCCCTGTGCCTCCATTCTCCTGTTTGTGCTCCTCATCCCTGACTCCCCAACAAGGCTTAGGGAAGCCCTCCCCATCTGCCATGTCAGCAGCCATATCAGCAGCCTAGATAAAGGGAAGAGCCAGCTGAGGGCCCAGAAGGTCCAAAGGTCTTGTACCTAAACCCTCTGGCAGATCCTTCTGTGTCCTGGTATCCAGGACCTGGCTGGCATTTCCTTTTTTTTTTTTTTTTTGTAGAGACAAAGCCTCACTCCATCGCCCTCAGTAGAGTGCGGTGGCATCACACAGCTCACAGCAACCTCCAACTCCTGGGCCTAGGCAATTGTCTTGTCTCAGCCTCCAGAGTAGCAGAGACTATAGGCGCCAGCCACAACACCTGGCTATTTTTTTGTTGCAGTTTGGCCTAGGGCCGGGTTTGAACCCGCCACCTGTATATAGGGCTAGTCCCCTACCCACTGAGCCACAGGCGCCATCCCCCCCTTTTTTTTTTTTTGAGACAGAGTCTCACTATGTTCCCCTCGGTAGAGTGCTGTGGCATCACAGCTCACAACAACTTCAAACTCTTGGGCTTAAGTGATTCTCTTGCCTCAGCCTCCAAGTAGCTGGGACTACAGGCATCAGCCACAATGCCTGGCTATTTTTTCTGTTGTTGCTGTTGTAGTTGTCATTGCTGTGTACTTGCCCTGGGCCAGGTTCAAACCCACCAGCCCAGCATATGTGGCCAGTGCCCTAACTACTGAGCCACAGGTGCAGAGCCATGGCACTTACTTCTTGTCATTGCCGTCCATGTACTCGCTGCGGTAGAAGCCGGCCAGATCATCCGCCAGCTCCCCCTGGAACTCGCTATCCATCTCATACTGGCTGTTCTCCACCAGCGAGCCCTGGAGATGCACCACCAGGTACTCGGTGGGCTCCACCAGCTCAGTCCTGTCAATGGCGGGGGGCTGGGAGCCCCCCACACCACGTAGGACTACCCGGTGACCCTGATTAAGGGTGTAGTTGAGCTTTTTGCTGTGGATGATGATGACATTGGTGGCCTCCGTGCAGGTGAAGCGGACGGTGCTGGAGCCCTGGAAGATGTACAGGCCCTCGGCATTGGGGGTGAGGTAGGGCCTCAGCGTCACACTGTAGGAGTCGGGGACCAGCGTCTTGGGCAGGCGATACCGGTTCCATGGCTTGCTCTGGTCCAAGGTGGTGGCCAAGGTGGGGGTGGGGGTGGGGCTCACGGTAGCGCTCTCAATGTTCCTGTTCTTCTCCTGGGCATACACCACGGACAGGGCAATGATGGTGCACAGAGCCGCCACACCCAGGAGGATGCCCAGGATCCCCAGGGACTTGGAAATGTAGAAGCCCTTGGCCATAGTAAGAGCGGGAGGGTGGCTCAGGTCAGGCAGAGGACTGAGCAGCCTCGGCCCAGGCTTATATCCCTGAGGGGGTGGAGCCGCAGCAGGTGGACTGGGCAAAAATTAACCAGGGCTCAGACAGGCGAAGGTCACTGCACAGGGCCAGGGTCACGGGGCCAGGGCCGTCTGCCTAGGGCTCTGGAGAGCAGATCTGGGAGGGGTGAACAGAGCTGATCTTAGGGTACCTGCAGGAGCAAAGAGTGTCCAGTTACCCGCTGCAGGCGGCCTGGGAGCTGGGCCTAAGGCTGAAGGACAGGCTGTGGGCCTTGGGGCCAACAAGCAGAGGGAGGGGCCAACAAGCCAGGTGGTGGTATGTTGATTTGCCTGAAGCTGAGATGGAGGGAACAGCAGCAGGATTGAGAAGGAAGTCAGGGAAGGACCTCTCAAGAACAGAAGTAGGAAATGCACAAAGAAGGGTGGGGCCATCCCCAGCTCCCACCAGCAGAACCATGGTCATCCCTCAGATTGAGTCTCAGGGGCTACTCATGACAAGGCCCCAGCCCCCCTGGTATGCTGCCAGAGGAGAGGGTTCTTCCAGGCTGTTCTTCCTGTCATTCTGCCAAATACTTTTTCCTCAGTTATCAGCTCACTGAACAACGTAAAATGAGTTTTGCCTTGCTGGTGGAGGTTGAGCCTCTTCTCAGCTGTGACCTTGAACAGGTAACTTTACCTTTTTGACCCTCTTTTCTCATAAATAAATAATGGTATTTACCTCTCAGGTGTTTTGAATGAGTTTAACAAGAAAACATATTAAACACCACATAACTGAACCTAAAAATCATTCCCTTCTTTCTTACCCAGAGCTCAACCGTGGCCTCACTTTCTGCTCTTGGTAGAAATAAAGATATTATTTATCAATAAAACATGCCCTGACAGCAAAACCCAGACACCAGCCCTGTTTCTCACAACTTCACACTGCCTGGTGCACTCCCAAATCCAATCCCCCCCAAGCCCTCACTCATCACATCCTCGGTCAAAGCCATTCTCATTTGTAATGCAGACATAGCTGCACCCTCATGGACTTCTCACTTTCACATGGGCCCTCTCAATCCTGTTCTCCACACAAATTCAACTATTTTCTGCCACTACTAAAGACCTTCCTTCTGTTTATAGAATCCAGAGGAAATCTTCTAAAGGAACCCGCGAGTCCAAGTGTAATCCACCTGCCCATTTCCCTGCCATGCTCCCCTGTGTAGTAGTGCCCCAGCCACACTGACCTCATCTCATCCTCTACCACGGGGCCTTTACACATGCTATTCCCTCTCCCTGGATCACCTTTTCTTCCCTCTTGCCCTGTTTAATTCCTTTCCATTCTTTAAGTCTTCCTCAGAGAAACCTCACTGACCTCTCTAACCAGGTCAAGCCCCTATTAGCTCCATTAGCACCACAAACCTCTTTTTCAGAGTCCTAGAACTTAGCAGAGTTTTCTATTCGATCTGTGTGGTGATGGCATAAGCCCTAAACTGCAGGTCCCATGGGAATAGGGCCTTGGCTGCTTCTTGCCTGGCACATGGTAGGTGCCTAGTACATACATGTTGAATGGATACACACATGCATGGATGGGTGTCAGGAGAGACTCCATACTGAAGTCTTTCTAGCCTCCATCTCCACACCTGTACCCATCCCACACCTGCTCCAGGAGAACTTCCCCCCGCCCTTCTCTGACTGTCCTCAACCGTGCAGCCCTAAGGCTTCTATGCCTATCTGCTGCCTCAGGATGTCTGCTCCTTGAAGGCCTCATTCATCTGCCACTCCTGCCTCCCTGAACCTGCCTGAGGCTTGTTAAATAAATGCATGCAGGGATTGAACAGACACAGATCAATTCCAGCAGGCACAGTGCAAGGCCAGGGCAGTGTGGATTTTCCATTGCAGTGACTGGAAGCCACTCCATCAGGCCTGAGCTGGTGGCCAAGGGACATAGTAGCTAGTCGAGTGTCCAGAGAGTGCTCCAGCTTGGGCCTGGTAAGAGAGAGAGAACAGTGGCTCCAAGGGGTCTCAATGTCCTCTATTAGGGTGGAACTTGCCAAGGGAGGCCATTGTCACAGCACCCTGTAGTGCTGTCACTAAGGGCCATGCATCCTCTGGACTACATTGTGTCCCTGACTGAGCCTATAGCCCCCTCCCACAAACCCACAAGTAGGCTTGGCTTAATCCCTTCTCCAAACAGAGAAAGAGGCCCTGCCTGGCCCACCGTGGGCTCTTCCTGTTTGCTTTGGACTCAGACCATGGGCCCAGCTGGCTGGGATCTTTATTTTCAGAAAAGGCCTCTGGTCTTCAGAGTTGGTGCAGCAGGTAGCTCAAAGCTGATCCTACAATGAGAGATCTCTGCTCTGGGGACCACACTAACCCACTCCTGCTCATACTTCAAAACCCAGCTCAAAGGCCACATCTAGCAGCCCCTCTGCCCACTGCATTTCCCCAGCCTCCAATTCACACCTCTTTCATAGAACCCATGAAAAGGCCATCAGGGGAAGCCCACACAAGCAGGAATGCAATACATGTCAGCAAAGGAATGATGACACCCCCCATGCTCACCGTGGCCTACAGGCCCAGTGTGATCCAGCTCCAGTGACTCTCTGGCCTCATCTCAAGCCCTCTGCCCCAAGACTCCCATCATGTTCCCCCTTAGGGGCCTCTTTCGGTTCCTCAAACCCACCCTGCTCTTCCCTCCTCCAAGCCCCCGTGTTCTTCACACACAAGCTGGCCCTTGAGCTCAGAAAGCTTCTTGCCTTTTCCTCACCCACTGCCCATCTGTCCTGGAGGATGTTTCAGTGTTGCCACCTGAGGGCAGCCCTTCCAGGGCCATGTCACCTGCACACCAGCACCACACCTAGTGCACAGTGGCAGTGCATGGGCATGAGAGACAGCAGTTACAGATGGAATACCAGGCCCATGACCCTGGGGACGGGTCCCACCTTCCAGACCACACAGTTATTCCAGGCTCCTGGACTGTGCACAGGCCACCCTTGTGACCTTACTGTATGTTCTTTTCTAAGCATTTCTCTTTAAGTCAGTCCACTTTTTTACTGAGTCTACTGAGCAATAATGAAACCACAGCAGACTTGTTAGTTTACATGTCTCAATCATGACCACTGACTCACGTAGGGAGCCCCTAAGATCATCTTGCATAGCTGCACCCACTTTGCGAACTTCTGCTCCAACCCATGTGATTTGGGGGTCATCTCTGGTGCAGGTTCTTTTGTCAGGTGAACAAAATGCACATGTTTCTTGTACCACTGATCTCCTGAAGGGTAGAGCAGAGCCTCAACCACCTCACCAAGGTAGCCTTTTTCTGGGTTTATATATTTCTGCCCTGCCTATGTTTCAGTCCAGAAAACACAAGTTAATCTATTAAAACAAACACAAATCTTAAGGTTGACAATTGTGCTAAAGAATATTTAAGGTATGGTCACACCTGTAGAAGATACCAGCTGAATGGAAAAGGCTGCTTTGTCTCAGATGTGGGGGTACAAGATGCCCCTCTTACTTAGACATGAAATGCCAGGAGCCTGGAAGGGGCTGTGGCCTAGAAGGTCTAGCACTCATGGTCAAGCTGCCACATCACCCAGGAGCTACCCCAGACTACTGGGGACTTGGATAGGTCTCTGCCTACTCTTTCAGCTCTACCTGTGAGCTGTGGGGCTAGGCAGGCTGAGAGCTAAGGGGCAACCTCAACCCCATCCGGCCATTCTGACGGAGCAGTGAATGTGGGGGGATCAAAGATGAGGGACCCCAGATAGGGCACGCTGTGGCCCTACAGGCCCCTGGCTTTCTTTCAGGCTTCTGAGGTCTCCACCCACAGCTCCATCACCCCAGGGTGCTTCCTCTAGGAGCACTGTCCATCCTGTGAGAACCTCAGAAGGCCCTGAAGGGAAACTGGCTCATATCAGCAGCCTTGGCCCAAGGCAGGGCAATAAGCAGAGGGGCCCTTTCAAGGAAGTGGGAAAAGGGCCAGGGAAGGCCCCAGGTTACAGACCCCGCCTGGCAGCTCCCATCTATGTAACTGAGCATCCATTTTGGCAGATGAGGAAACTGAAGCACAGAAAAATTAAGGGATCTGCCCAAGGTCACACAGCTAGTTAGTGGCAGATCCTTTAGGTTTAACTACACGTGCCTCCTGAGACTACCACTACATCCACTTTGGCAGTGCCCAGGCAGGTAAAGCCCTGATCAGGAGACACACACCCTTGAGGCAGACCCAGACTGGCATCTGAGGGAGGCCGGTTTCTGGGAAGCGGAACTTCTTGTCAGCCGGGCTGGCTCCAGACACAAGCCTGTGGAGGACCTCGGCTTTGCCGCCGAAGTGTGACTAGGGCCATGAAAGGCTCCAGACGACAGACACCTTGAGTGGCGCCCGGGCTGGTAGATGGCTGGGGCCAGTGCGGATGAGGGCATGGCACACCCCAGAGTGGGCAGCCGCGCACCGTCCACGCAATCCCCGGAGGCTGTTTGGGATCTGCCCTTCCAGAACACCAGTGGACCGCAGTGGGAATCACGATTTGTCTCAGCTGCGCCCCAAAATCTCTAAATGCGGTTCCGTATCCGCAAAGCCCGAATCTCCATGGGGTTGTTTGAGGGCCAAGAGAAACCTAACGATTGTAAAACGGACATTTCAAACTGAGAGTTCCCTTTCCTCTTTCCCCAAGGCCAGGGTGACCCAAAGGGTGACCTTCGACCCCAGACCGGAGCGCTGGGCAGCCGCCACCGCCCCTTGGTGCGGCAGACACTTAAGGGCGGGGGATCTCCCCGCAGCCCTGGACCCGCCCCGCCCCGCGACTGCCACCCCATGCTACACCCTGCGTCCCCGCCCCTCTCCCGCGGGTCCTCCCCAGGCCCCGGCTGCCCAGGCCACCCTGCGGCCCACCTTCCCGGGTGGGAGGCCGTCTGACCCGCTGCAGGGCTCGCAGGGGGACCCACTTGGCCACGAGATCGCAGTGGGAGCTTAATTCTTTGCTTTCCCGAGCCCTCAGTTTACCCATCGGAGAAAGGGG